TTCATATGTTCAGCCAACTACAATCAAGCGCAGCTATTCCGCTGCTATTTACACTTGATCATGTGTAAATTATGTTCTTTTTCCACAAAAGTTTCATTAAAAACGGCCTCAAGCTCAATAAATTCTTGAGTGATTAACACTTTTTTTGTGAACTACATTTTATTTTTATACCAATATATTGTTAATAACAAATACGTTTTAAAGTATTTTCTGTTACATTCATAATTTTCCTTTGAATAAAAGTGTACTGAAAAGTACTGATTCATATAGCATGAAAAAGTCTAAGGTACTGATTTCGGGCAAACAAAATCTGGCAACCCTATGCATGCTAAAAAGGTTCAGAGTCGTGTACAACCTATCACAATTACATACATATACATATTTATATGTACACACACATAATAATGTACCTATCTATGTATGTATATATTTAGGTAGGGTCAGGATTTAAGTCTTATTTCCCGCTGTTTTAAACGCCAATGAATGGGGGAAGGAAAACGTGACAAAATGAAATTTATTTCTATTTCATTAGTGCGTATGGACCGAGAGAAGAAAGGAGAAACCCAACTTAGGCCCTAAAAAAACAGTTGTTTGAGGCTATTCCTTTGTTGCCATAAAATTAAATGTAATAGTTTTGCATATACATAAATCTTCCGCTGAAGGCGAGGTACTGGTATTAGTAGCGTATGCAAATACTTGGAAGTTTGTACCCTGTGGGAAAATCTCTAGTTCTGAACTGGTGCGCTTCTAATACATTTAGACCCAGTACTGGTTCGCGATAAATCTCTTTTGCATGCAAGCAACTGGCGAATTTAACATGGCGATGTCCTAGGAAGTGTCAATTGCCCCCCGCTGCATCCCTTTTTCTATAGTTCCGAACCATTTCTAAATTCGTCACTTTACATATAGATTTCTATTAAAAAAAAACTGAAAAAATTAGTCTTTTAGAAGTACCACTTTTCGCCGATTTTCGACTGGTGGGGATCTAGTTCCTATCGGACTAGTTCCTTTTTGGCGATAAAGACCTAGTACGTAACTAGAAATTTTATTCACTAGTCCGCGGTTTCCCTACAGCGTATTTTTATGTACACATACATATGTATGCACATACATACATATATACTCCCATGCACTTGATTAGGTGCAAGGTCCTTTTGCTATATGCCTTTTCTGTCCAGGACCTTTCTATGCAAGGATTTCTCAGTGGTGTTTACATTAACTTTTACTGCTTTTTACTTTTTAATTGAAAAGGCATCAACAGAAGTTGGTTTATTTTATTTTTTTGCTATCATTACAATTTAGAATATGTAACTCCGTATTGTTTAATAATGAAGTCTTTAATTGCAGCGCAAAAAAGGTTTCACCCCATGATTCAATAATACTACAATACAATATACAATATTATTGAATCATGGTTTCACCCTAATCTTTAGGAAACTCTTTGCTTATATGTACATACTCTTATGATTATCGCATTAGTGTGATATTGTCAGCTAAGTGTTGTCGCCGATTTTTGTTTTTGCTACATATGTAAGTATGTAAAACTGCATAAATATGTACCCCTATGGTATTTCTTTCCTTTCGTATTCCGCTTTCTATGAATTCGGGGACTGAGTGAAAAACTGGCAGTGCAATAACCGCTTTATGGGCAGATTTTTCGATGAGCGCACTAACAGCCAGCTGATATCAGCTGTGGCACATTTCACTTCATTCATACTCTTGTTTGTATGTATACTATTTCCCTTTGAATTTTTTGCCAATTTTCAAATTGTCTCAGCAGCAGTGGTAGCTTACGGTTATTGCTGCTATTTATGAACCATTTCAGATTATGACTCTTATCCGGCTGCATGTGTTGTTTCAGGAGCTGTAATTATGTGATGCCTAATGAGGCGTTTGTTAGCGTTACGACAGGTAAACACTGCAAATGATGTAAGTAATTTTTATATTATTTTGTTTTGGTAGCCTTGAAGTTTTGGGAGGAAATAGAGGACACATATCTTTTATTCATATTTTGTTTAACGACCCGTGGTTCATCGGTGGCCAATTATTGTGTTGTTAGACAAAACTTTCAGCAAAATTTTATTTTTATTCATATTTTTATTTATTTGCTAAATATTCAAGAAACATTTACTGCATTATGAGTAAAAATTGTGCTGTTTGACAACTGAGTTCATAATGATAATAATAGATAGGCTCGTACACAATATGTTAGCGTTTGGCCGAGCTTCTCCTTGGTTTTGTGGCGTGCGCCTTGATGTTGTCCCACAAAGGGGAGGGACCTACAGTTTTACGCCGACTCTCAACGGTGTTTGTTGTTTTTATGAGAAGCAAATTTTGTTCATGGAAGAATACAGTCGGAGGGTTGTGAGTGTCTGCCGAGGGTAGACCGCAATTAGAAATTTTTTATGTATTATTATATATATATTTTTTTTTTTGATGTTGAGTCCGATAGTACCATTAGTACTATTTTTATACTTGTAAGGCCGAGGTCAAGCAATGAGCGGCTGAGCGGCGCCATACACAAAATTACGTTCATTGCGTCATTTCATTTGTTTTAATTTTCAGCCGCTCGCAGGCAAACGGCAAGCTCATTGCGCGGCATCGGCCTTAGAAAGAAACTCGGAATGAAGTTGCTTTGCCGTAGAATATATAGGACGTACCACTGCTGTGTGTGTGTGTGTGTAAATCCAGTGAACTATGTGGTGTTTGAGACCCCATTTCTTGCCTATAGGCGTTTTGCACCCATAGAGGGCGGTAATGGCCTTTTTGGCCCGCTCCTATACGTTGCGTTACCAGGTCAGTTTCCTATCCAAGATGACTCCCACGTAGACCAGATTTCCACGATACTCAAGGCGTTCTGCAACAGGTTTCCCAGGATTTGTGTGCAATAGCGTTGCACCCTGTAAGCGTATGAGTAGGGTGTTTACCGTAAGATTCCTGAGTAGTGGTGAATTCTTCCTTGAGGAGTGCCCCTTGTCGCATATCTTGTGATGTGTGCTCCAACCATCTTCGAATAGATAGTTCTCCGACTGAGGGAGAAGGCGGACAAAGTCTCCCAGTGATCGATCGAGCCCGACCTGGAGCATAGATGGTGTGATCGCTTCTGGAGGATACTTAGTGTTAGATCCTTGTATGCCAAGGATTTCTCAAAACCGTAAACTACATTGTGGAGTGCGGAATCCAAAGATTTGCCTTTCGAGTAGAAGTTTGGCAGTCAGACAGCCCTTTAGGATCCATTCTTTGCCGAAGGAATGTTTCCAGTATCATTTCTCTTCGGTATGAAGACGACCTTCCCCAATGTCCATGATTTTGGTTTATATCCCAGGTTGAGACAAACCTTATAGATTACCGTTACGTTGGGGCATAATACGTCAGATGCTTCGTGCAGTTCCGCTGGGAAAATGCCACCCAGCCCAGGGGATCTGAAAGGTTTAAAAGACCTTATAACCCTTTTCACATTCCTGTGGGTTATGATGGCCTCCCCCCGCGGAAATTGTCCTAGAGCCGGGGTTGAGGAAAACTATATTAAAATATTTCTCGAATGTAGGTTATAGAATGTTAAAGTTCATTTTATGCTATGATGGAACTATTATGTTTGAAAATTAAAAAAAAACTTCTAGCTTGTGACGGGTTGGGCGAGTCCCAGAGATATTTGTACTACGGCTGTATTTGTATCCGTATAGACAACCATAATACTGTGTGCAATGTAAGAAAAGTGAAAACCACAGAACTGAGGTTGGCTGCTTTACTATACTATATATTGTTATTAAAACCCGTTAATATGTCATATTCATTTTCCAATTTTAAAACGGGATAAACATGTCATTTTTCAGAGGAGAATGGGATTTTCGGACCTTTGGAGTTGGCAACACTGTGTGGCATAATAGTCTCCGTATTATTGTTTTTTAGGAAAATAGTCGATGAAATACCTTCACAAATCCAAAAAACAATAGTAACGGCAGTATATTTACGTCCGGACATGGGATCATCTTCCAGCGACTCTCTGCTGTGCTTGAATTTTTGCAATAAAATGTATATAACAACCTTCTCTGTATACTTCCCCGCACATATCTATAGATTTGAAATATTGGTTGATTTTTGTATGCATACATGTCCTAGGTACATATTATGTACTAGCAATTAAAGATTTAATATTAAATACAACTCAAACAAATGTATTAGAAAAGAATATATAAACCCGGATTCCTTGGTATTGTATTTTTAAAATTATGTACCGCTACATTTTCACTGTTCAGTGCATGTATGTGCTATTTAGGTGTATACAAATATTTCGCTTTAAAGCTGAATAATATCTTTTGAATAGCAAGTTCTGTGTGTTGCCATAAGTTATGGTCGCTTGTCTTTATGTTAATCTGACTAATCAAACTAGTTATAACAAATCTTGTTATTGAGTGTGGGATAAAAGAGAACAAAGCTATAATTCCATGGCGTTAGCGCAGCATACTCATATTAGCTTTGTACACGGTGTGTGAGGGCATTAATATATAGTTTTGCAAATATCGATTAAGAATTCAAATAATGTACCAATTAAGATGATATGTAAACAATTTAAAAAAGTTAAATTAAATCAAGTTAGGGAACTTCCTATTCTTCTTAAACGAAATCGCTATATCTATAAATTATTTTATACTTTTTAGTTCTTGTTGTAGTAAAAGCGTGTATTTAGTTTTTTAACTATAATTTTATTATTTATATTTATACGACCATTTTTTTACCCCAGCGCAATTGCCCACAAGTGTATTATCACGTTGTTGAAAATGGGCAAAAACGGACTTTACCTCCCATTTGACTTTCTTTTGTAAAAATATTCCACATTAGTATAAGCTAACTTTAAACTGTAATTTTTTAAGTTACGTGCATATGTGCTTGAATATATATCATTAAGTAATTCCCCAAAACATTATTATTCTATTGACAAATTGACTAAATTAACTATATCAAATTTATCACACTCACAGTTTTCAATTCTTTCTTTACAGTTTTATGCTCAACTTTTACTTTTGCGCAATGTGTATGTGAACTGTAGCCAATAGTCAACACAACGCAAACAACTTGTGCAAAAGTTGCTTGTTCGTACAGCGAAAACGCAAAAGGGGTAATAAGAGTATTTCTCTAAGTTATCGCATTTATCACACTTATGTAAGCGCATCGAATCGATTTGAAAACGAGCAGCACGTCTAAGAAATTGCCAATACGAAAAAAAAATTGTCGCAGGTAAGTGCAATAATGTCTGAACAATGTACATACATAAATAAAAACGAAAAGAGGAATAAAAACTGCAAAACACAGTAATAATCTAAAAATTTGTATGAATGGCTGAAAGGAAAATTCAGTGAACCGAAAATCATTACTCCGTTTGTGCAAAATCGAAAAAAATAAAAATAAAAAAATAGAGGCAGCAAATTCGCACTTCCAGTCAACTCTCTGTAGTCAGACGTGCATTCCGCTATATTCACACATTCATAGAAACATTTCATTTAAATGCATTTAGCCATTCGTTATTTGCATTTTCTCATATTTTTCAATGAAAACTAAAAAGTTTTCTCCTCCACTTGGCGCGCACTTCACTGACTTTGCTCTCTTGGCAACAGCTCAGAAAACTCCAATTTGCTTACCTATCGTCTATGGTCATTGATCGTCATTGATTTGGGTCAATTGCTGCATTTGAAATTGAAATCTATCGAATTTTCGGGTTGGCTCTCGTGTTCTTTTTGTGCCTTTTGGCTTTTAGCCTTTGAATTGCGAAATTTCTCATCCCTAATTTGATGCATGTACATATGTTTTGATATGTTTGTTATGATTTACAAGTTATTTGTTGCTGTTTTCAATGTTTATGTGAATTTTTGGGGAATTTTTTTGAATCATGCCAGACCAATTATGAAGTTTTGTTTAGAGAAGAGCGCTGTGGCGTACCAAATTCCAATGATTTTTGTTCCTCTAGTTGCGGCAACGAGTTTTGCATTTATGTTTTTGCTTTTAACAACAAGCCAAACAATTTATGAACTTTTGCCGATTTGGCAATGCTGATTATTTTTTGTTTACTATTTTTGTCCGGTAAATATGTTTTACTGCCAAGTTGCCAGTAGGTTATTAGGTCGTCACACATGGGAGTTTATTTTGGTATTTTATATTAAGGCGTTGCTCTTAAATATCTTATCTGTGTAAAATAAGCAGAATGGCTGATAAAAGCTCTATTTTGTTTTGTTTTTGAGGATATGTAGACACACGACTGTGCAAATAAATTCCGAAAAGTTATTACTATTACCTTCTCCTTTGCCATTACTATTGCCATTGCCATTAAAATTACCATTAACATTACCAATACGTTTACCATCACCATTACGATTACGACTATTAATCTTTGTACTTATTTGACACTACAACTGTTTGTTGTTGGAAGATTTTTGAATGAAGCATTTTTCACGCAAAAAATATAAACTGCTTCTATCAGATTAAAGTTTGTCTCTGTGTGTTTGATTTCCAGGGTTCCATACAACAAACGCATATTCTATAATTTACATATCTTATAAAGTAAACAGAGATTTAGGGTGCTATCTACTGATCTTTCTTTGAAGGTAGAAAGCTTCTTAGCTGAATAAAGTGCTATTTCTCCACTACCTTTTGTCAGTTACACATGATTGGGCATTTGCAAAAGTATTTTTCTTTATCCCAATCACAATAAACAGTTTGTTCAAAATTGTCAATTGAAGTTCGTCAAAAAAAAAAATAAAAAGTTGTCGTTCCATTTATTTGGTACAAATATACCAATCGTGTGAGACTGCCTTAAAAATTATAATTTTTTGGGAAATTACGTTGGAAAGTTTTTTGTACGAGGCTTAACTCTTGTAAAATATCTGGTTTCCGTGGGTGGTACGGAGGGTATTCTGGATTTTGGTTTAACATAGAATATTCAAAGGTTAATCAAATCAACCCAATAACTCAAAATTGGTAAATTTGCACATTCACGCTTCTGGCATAAGGGTGACGATGTGTTAATGACCCGTTTTGCTTGGTTAATGAATTATGAATTTGTTCTTAAAAAACTGTTTAGTGAAAAAATTATCTTTTCATAATTGATATAATTAGGTATATATGTATGTATGTATACATATGTGAATCCGTGGGTATGTATGTATATGTCTCAGTGTTGCCAGAACTTTTTGGACAAACCGGCTAAATTGGCAAATAAAACCGGCTAAAAACGGCTAAAATCTTTCAACTAAATTTTACATGTTTTATTTAAATAAATCACGAGTAAAAATACTATTTTTTGGAGAGATGTTACAAATTCGAGCCGGAAAAAATTTGGGAGTGGGCAAAAATTATGTTTTGTAATTTAGGCAGAATTGAATATGCGCTATCTGGGAAGACAATATCTACATATAATACCTATTCTATTTGTTGGCACTATATCCAAACACAAACGCATGTTAAGTGTCTTAACAGTGAAACAATTTCTTATTT